TAAAACGATATCTCAAATACGACATATGGGCGTGTTGATTTCTGCCAGAATTGATCAACTTTAAACTTTAATGCGCGATGCGCGTGCTTCTATCCGCTACGTGAAATTCAGTGGCGAAACGTTTGCCGAGTAAATGGGTTAACATCCAGGAAGTGTTGCTACGTTATCGATAAACCGACACACGTGACAATCGCACATTGCTACCTGTCGCAGGTGATTCGAAGATGTTGCTTTGCGATAAATACATTTCGCTCGCGACAAACTATACCTATGGTGCATTACCGTCCTTGCCATTATCGCCGTTATCCCCGATGTCTTTTTGTTCTCCGGTATCGTTTGTTAAAATTAGTTAACGCATGCAATGAATTTCAGCTTTGATGCTTCCACACGAATAGGATAACAACTTGATATGATTTTTTACATTATTTTTTTACATGATTTTTTTACATTGAAGACATACACGTTAACTAGATCCAATAATACTAATTCCATAATGCATAATATGTTGCAACGGACATAAAGTATGATTAACTGAGCCGTCCGCATCCCCCAAGAGGGATGACTCAGTAAAATGTGAAAAATGTGAACAGAGCATGTAATTTATTATACAATGTGTCATATTTTTGTGTCGTCATTTTATCTAAGCATGATCCACAAATTATCTTTTTCGCGTCCATATAAATTGATTTCGCAATGAACGCTATTTATAGAACATCGATAAACATTAGATAATAATAATGCGATAACGAATGAGTACTTTTTCTCATTAATAGCAATTAGAACAATAAGTTTCGATGATATATCGTGCGAAAGTATGTAAATTTAAAGGAAATGATGCGAGCGCCAAGTTCCCTTTTTATCACCGCGCGAGGAAGCCTCGCGGTGGAAAACTGCATCGTTACTTGCCATTCGATGACCTGAATGTAGGTCCCTCAGAATACATGCATTGCGTGAGTCTGGTATCGATCGCGTGTAATCGACAAAAAATCTTAAAATTAGCGCATGCATGTCTCGCGCGCGAAACGTCCTCCTTCGCGAGAAAAAAAAAGAGGACGACACGTCGTTACAAATGAATTGTTTCGTGCATCTTGCGGTTAACCGAAGCCATTTCTTTCGTATTTTAATCAAACGGAGTAAACTTCTCGACAAGTTTCATGAAACTTTGTTGCTGTTTGCGTTGATATGTGCGTGTTAAATAGTAAGAAGAAATTAATATTATTTGCAATTATTAGTGTTATTAATCATTGATTTTAATATCTTTAAAAATTCATTATATATTTGATCAAAAATAAATAAATTGGAATTTATTTCATATATTAATATAAATTAATATAAAATAAATTTATAAAATAATATTTCATAAGACTCCCCCTAATTAACAATAATGTTATTTTCTATATTCAAATGATATACTTTGATCTCAATTTTTAATTATCTCCTACAGCCTCATATATATCACCGAGATGAGTGATATGTCACCGATTAATTTAACGACTAATTGCGCAACTTGTAGCAACGCATTAAATGCAATCTTTTGCCTTTGATAGAATTCTATTTTCCTCAACTTTTTGGTGTTAATAGGAAAACTATCTCGTGTTGCCTCGATATCGCATCCACAATCGCTTCTTTAATTAAAATCCGGTCGAAATTACGCCCTTCCTTTTAAAATCGAGGCCGACTTGGTCATTCGAGTGTCGCATCGACGAGTTCTCTTCGCAGGGGGTCCTCTCATTTAAACGCGTCAGCTTAGCCATATTATACATGACGCATCTTTCCATCTACACACGTGAATGATGGAGTCGAACACGCTCACCGGGTCGGATCAATAACTCCAGGAATGAACACTTGTCGGTTACGCGCGCGAGGCAGCTTGTTTCTGGTCTAATGTCGGAAACGAAAGCGGAAATCGGTCCGTCATGTTTAGAAATTCCACTCATTGTCAAACGTTTTCTCGTGATACTTTTCGCACAATCTGCAAACCTAGGGAAAGGAACACTCGCGTTTGTCTCAAGAGACAATTCGAATTTCACTCTTATCTGCAATAAAAGAATAAACACTGTACAAAACTTTAAATGACAACTTTAAGAATTCAATATACCTTTAATTTTGAGTGCTCAATTTCATTAAAGTTTGAATTATATTTTATGCAATAGTGAAATATATGAAAAACACATTAAAACAAAAGATATTGAAAGTTTTCCGATAATTTGCTTCTAGATTTGAAATTTTTAAGATTTATTTGCGATAATTCGAGACTGTCAGTCATAAAGTAAGATACACAATCTAACAGAACCAATTTGGTTTCGCTAGTGCAATTATTTCTAACGGTCTAATATTACTTTGGCCACATGTTCATCGTGATAGAGTTCGCGCGAAATTCCCACCATGCAGAGATTCCTATCCGAAGACAAGATATAATGTAAAACGAAGATAGGAAAATATGTATTGTAAATTGCGATATATATTTTCTAAGAATTTTCGTAGTCTTTAAAAGAATGAAACAAAACCATAAATATGTATATTAATAAAGGGTGATATGATGAAAATGATTAAAATGTCTGGAGGTTGTGTCAAGGTTGAGAATCGTGCTTAAAAATCAATCAAGTATATACGTTATAAATTTGCTTTTTTTATTTAAATTTATATGATATCATCGGGCCACTTAGATCATTATACTTTATGCGTGCAAAATGTTATTTTAGGGCTTATTTTATATCTCCGACTTAATTACTCGCAGCCGGTGACGTGACTGACCGCGAGTAATTCGAATCACTCTCTAACAAGTCGCATGCCATAAATTGAAAGTGAAATTCAGAGTCACATTTTGCGAAAGCTTTTATCTCAGTTAATAAATTATCCCGTTATTTTAAAAAATAATTTTGTATTTTACTCAGAATTTATTTACAAAAATATATATTATTATATATAAACGGTTTATACATTTTGCTTATTATTATATTACTTATTATATTATTTAATTTTTTTTTCATCATATTATTTTGTTTAAATAAATTTATAAGAAATATATTTTCCATACATAAATAAATAATTGCTTATATATGTAAAAAAATTCTTATTTATGCAAATTGCATTTTTTTACGATAAATAAAGTCGCAATAACAACATTCCACGTGTTTATGCAAAGTTGACGAAACTCGAGGAAAATCAATGTCATGTCCAAATGCAAATTCAAGACTAATATTGTACAATAATGTCATAGCATTATGATTAATGGACGATCAGATTAAATTCTATTCAATATTCTAAAAGGATGAATAGGATCGATGCGTTTTCGATCCGATAATTGAAAGAAATAATTGTTAGACCCGTTTAAGGAACGTTTCTTCCTCGGTGATCGTAGAATAAGGACTTTTCGTTTCATGATAATTCTGCGACGTTATTTCTCAAGGTGAATCTGAAGTCAGCAATCTACAGAAATACGATCTGTTTCGCTATTCGACACTATTATGACCGTTCGCGTGTCTTTCCCCGTTTATATTCAATTCTAAGCCACTTTTGCCCCATCCACTCCTTAAAGTTAGCATAACAAGCTTTATGATCGTACGCAGATAACCACGATGCATCATACAACCCAAACATTCGAAGACTTATTAGCAAAAGTCAACGTCCGAAAGATTTTTATTCGGATTTTATTTTCCCTTCTAATATGTCTGATAAAATTTAGGAAAAACATATTTTTTTTATATTCTTTGCTGTCACATTATTACTGTAATTTTGGGCGTAACTGTGACTTTTATTATTATTGTAATTTTGAATTTTTAAATAAATTAAGTTGATGTAAGTTTTGGCCAGTTTCGTATATTTCGTAAATTTTTAACAAATCTTAAAAACCGAAAGCGAATGAAATATTTTCTTTCCCATTTTAAATAAATCTTGCATTTTCATATGTTCACCGTTCGATATATAATTTATTATTTTAATATATATCTGATAATATTAAAATTGAACGACCTAATTAAAGTCATACTCTAATTAAATGCACCTATCTATCTATTCACTAGTAGAGTATTCGCTTGTAAAACACCGTTTGTAATTGCTATCGGTTTGATTACTGTAATCTCGTCGTCAACACACGTAATATTTGTTCGACACGTAGAGCGCGTGGTAATTTATAATTGAAGGTTACTGTCATTGCATGCATTGTAGGGTATTAAAAAGTAAGCACAAATAGAGAACTGTCGAGTATATCGCATTTCGACTATGAATTATTCGTAGCACTTGAACGTCCAGAGTTTTCTCGGTATTCTTATATTATGATACATACATGTACATGCCATATATCTATATATATATATATATATATATATATATATATATATGTTTACATGTATGTATGGAAAGAGAAATATTATACCTGATACATTCAAGGAATTCTCCTGGAATAATAAATTGATAAAATCTAAATAGCATGTGCTAACAGAGATATTTAGGTACAGAGTAAAATAACAGAGATATTTTTTTTATTATTATTTTATATTAATAAATAATTAATTTTTTTTATTAAATATCAAACATCTTGCACAAATATTTAAATACAATACATTATTATATAAAATAATATAATCTATTTATTTCCAGATTTTAATTTACTTATAGCTCAATAAAAATGTTTTTTTTGGGCAGTCAAAAAATAAAATTTCATTATAAACGCGAAATTATTATTACATTATGACATGAAATTTTATCTTGAGAATACTTTCCTCTAGTCCATTACTTTTTGATGTATAATATATTTTCTTGTAGCACATGTTCGATTTTTTTATCGCGCGTAAAGTGTCTCCAGTAATATATACAAGGCACACAAAAAGGGTAGTTCTCGTTATCACGTTATCTGACACGCTGCGACATTCATTCACTACGTAGCGATGCATTGATGTCGATCACTTAGTTTGTGCGTGCAGACGCACCTTTATAAAGAGCTGTTGCTCACATGTTTACGCAACAGGTTTACGGGGAACCATATTAAGGCGAATCAAGGTATATTCCATAAGAATACAAGGGATAAAGAATGGACTCGCAAGAAACCGCGAACAATATGGCCGAATCTACTTCGGGCCATGTAAATATGGTAAGCGAAGGACAAGATATTATATATAAATAAATCGAATGTGTTCAAAATAATCATTATCAATGGAACAATTTGCCACTACGATGATAAACGCGTAGCCTAGATTATATTTTTATTACATTCTCTACATCTCTCATCTATCGATGCACAACGTTTAATTATAAATCGCTCAATCACATCACGGTGAATAAAATTGCAACTTGTCTGAGAGGATAACGAGAAGTTTGCCTGCAAACGTAACGTGCTCTATGTAGAGCGTCGCTCAAAGCGATAGTCATTCGTGGTTTGATCCCATAACGAAGAGCTAAAAGTAAAACGGTGGCAGGCACGGTAGAAACGGCACGGCGAGACGTCACCAACCCGCATTTTATCAAAAGATCGATAAACTCAGGGCCACTATTACGAATTTCGACTGCCGTCAGTGTCTCTCTAGTGTCTCTCTCTCTAATGTCTCTCTCTTTTGCGCGATTTCTACATTGTTATCATTGTACAAAATACGATGTTATCGTCGTGAGGATTAGCTCGCAACACGAAATGTCTCATGTTATAAATTAACTAAATTGAATTGAAAATACAATGATGACGGCAAACAATGTCTAACATTCAGATGCGTTATGCAAAATGACGCCGAAAAAGTCAACGGTAGATCCGCGGTAGATCGTAGATTAACGGCTGGAATAACACAAGGAATTAAGCAAATGTCTGTAGACAATGCGGCTTGCAATTTGAGTCGTAGCACGACGAAAAGATTGATGGGTCTAAGGTCAGGGTTAATTCTGTCGATTGTAATTTACTACGTTGCGCCAATAATCTTCGGTTTCATTTCTTCATGTGGTATATAATACTCGCGCAAGACTAGAAATAATATTAAATTATAATGCGAAATAATATTAAATTATATTGCGAGCATATTCTCAATGTCAAAAAACAACGCGGTACGGCATTCAAATATACATAATATCCCAAGTTAAAGTAGTACGACTTATTCATAAATCTGTCTAACGAAGAAAAGATAAGATTATCAATGCGTGAAACACAGGTAGAGAACCAAGAATAATCGCACTCATAAATTCACTCGTCCTAGCTACTTCAAGGTAACAAATCTGTGAGTTCGAATTGAGATGTTAAAAATACATGTTCTTATTGTTTGTTTATTGTAATGAAAATGTGATTATTAGCATATTAATGCTCATGTCGAGCACCGAAAATTTGTATTTCATCGAAATTATACCGATCTCAATATCCGCGTTCAAATCAAATTATGAAGCGACTGTTATTAGAAATTGTTACCATCGAAAAAAAAGTGTGAAAATCATATATTACATTAAAATTGCATTCATGAATATTAAATACTCAATATCTGTTTTTGAACAAAATAGATATGGATTTTCTACGATTGTAATTTTAGAATCAAAAACGAATTTTACTGACTTAAGATATAGTGCGAACGCATTCTATCTCTACAGATTCATCGGTTTTTTTATAAAATTGATTTATCATAACAAATCACCGCCAAGCACATGATCTTGTGCAAGTATACGCGACACAAGCTATTCTTCCGCAGGTGAAGCCAAACGTTCTTTCACCACCGCAAGGCTTTCAGGCGAGACCGCAAGGTCTGCCACCATCTCCCAGAAATTCGATAAATAATGGTCCCGTAGGCGTTCCTCGACCGGGACAACCACTGCGCCGATTGGATAGTCGTTCTTCCTTAGGTCCGTCGCCGGCCTCAGGTCAATTTGTGCAGCTTAGACCTTACGGTCCGCCGAGACCACCAGGGAGCTCCTTCCCTCTAAGATCACCGCAACCCGGTCAACTGCCTCCACAGAATCCGCTGCATCCCTCAAATCAGCGTTTCATCTATTCCCCGGGGATTCGCGGTCCTCCCCCGCAAGGAGGTCAACGACCACCCTTCGTCGGTAACCAGCAGGTGTATCAACAACAGCAGCAGCAGCAGCGAGGCAACAACGATCCGCGATTTCAACGACCTGATATCGCGCCCGAAAACGGGCCGCGGCGACCTAGTCAAGAATCCGTTTTCCCCAGACAATTACTGAGAAATGACTCATCATTGAGCTTGCAGCAGCGACAGCATCTTTCGTCAAACGAGGAGATCAAGCAGCCGACACGACCGCGTATTGTCATCGAAAAGATGGCGGATATAAATGAGACCAGCGACGTTGATAAACCAGAGGGCTATCTACAAAGGAAGAAATCCGACGTCCGTGAAAACGGCGAAAATGACGACGATGACGATGTCGTGATGGATAATGAGAAATTATCGCAACACCCTCGGGATAGCATTCCTGAGGGACTGGTGAACGGCTCCAAGTCGCCCTTAACCCCGAAAAAACCCATGAATCGACCAGGAACAGCCACTATCGAAAATCCGAGTAAATATCTTGATAAAGCATCGAAAGAGTTTTCTGAGGATATGTCGTCGGTTATTTTTCAAAGCAGACCTTCCTCCGCAGTAAATGATGATAAAGAAGAAAGGAAAGACGAAAAATTCTCCAGCAGACCGCCATCAATTAAAGAGATTGATATCCTCGAGAACTTGACGGAAGATTTTGCGAGAGATGAAGCAAGTTTATTGCTCGCCGACGATTCAATGAATAATAAAATATCTAGACCCCCGAGCGCTACGTCGACGTTCGAACTGATTGAAGAAATTCCAAAACCAAGCAGTCCGTATAACGATATCATATTTGAAAACGTCGAGCAGAGCTTGAAGACTTCCTCGAAATCTTCAGATAATTCGCGTTCTGTTACGCCATCTTATCTGGATACGCCTCAAAACGCTGAACAGGCAGTATCGAGGACTTCATCCAGGATCTCGGATAAATCACGTTCCAGCACCCCGGCGCACCTGGACGCGCCCGAAAACACGGAACAGAATAAAACTCCCGATAAGTCGCGTTCCAACACTCCGGCCGAATTGGAGCCGCATGGAAACGCGGATCAGGAATCGAAAACGCCGATCAAGACGCCGGATAAGTCACGCGCGAATACACCAGCCAGATCGGAGTCGCTTGGAGACGCAGAACAGGAATCGAAAACGCCGATCAAGACGCCGGATAAGTCGCGCGCGAGTACACCAGCCAAATCAGAGCTACTTGGAAATGCGGAACAAGAATTAAAAACGCCGATCAAGACGCCGGATAAATCGCGCGCGAGTACTCCAGCCAAATCAGAGCTACTTGGAAATGCGGAACAAGAATTAAAAACGCCGATCAAGACACCGGATAAATCGCGCGCGAATACTCCAGCCAAATCGGAGCTACTTGGAAATGCGGAACAAGAATTAAAAACGCCGATCAAGACACCGGATAAATCGCGCGCGAGTACTCCAGCCGAATCGGAGCCGCCTGTACACGCGGAACAGAAATCAAAAACACCGATCAAGACACCGGATAAGTCGCGCGCGAATACTCCAGCTGGATTAGAACCGTCTGAAAACACAGAACAAGAAATGACAACGCCAGTCAAAACGCCGGATAAGTCGCGCGCGAGTACTCCAGTCGTCCAGCTGGCACCGTCTCCAAATCCGGAGAAAGAACCGCATCTAACCCCAACAAAGACGCCTGACAAGTCGCGTTCGAGCACGCCAGCCGGAATAGAATCGAGTGGCGGCGAAGTTTCCGTCGAGAATTCACATGGCGACAAATCTGGCGAAAATACTTTACAAGTGAAAGAGTCCGGCAAACCGGCCTCCTTGTTGAGTTCGCCTAACTCAGCGAGCGACAAGGACGGCAAGTCATTAAAATCCCCGAAATCCCCGAAATCACCGAAATCATCTACGATACCGGAGAGCCAAGGTAAATTGTCGATGCCGGAATCAGCGACATCCCCGCCAAGATCACCTGGAGGTGTGAAGGGCTTCGATAACGGGGAACAACGATCGTTATCTTCGGGTGGTAGCCCTCGATTGAAATCTCCGAAATCACCTGCAAAACAGACAGAGAGTGAGAAAAAGAAGAAAACATCCTTCGTCGAAACTACTAAGAAATCGGTAGAAATAGCGGACACGACACCGATTCTGACAGCAACATCCCCATCAAAGCCTACTGCTCCACGTCCGCAAACACCGACAAAACCGGATGACGAAAAAAAGCCTACAAAGAAAAAAGGTTTTTGCGTTTACGAAATGAATAAGACGAAACATGAATACCAAATACTAATTCGTTTTATGAACATTAATTTGTTCGATTTATTTGTATCTGCTCAAAAAAAATTCAGACTTACTACTTCCATGATTTTTAATTAAATTTGATATTAAAATATATAATATTTAGAGAGAGATCTCACTATAAAATAAATTTTACAATAAAAAGCTATATTTTTATATTTCTATTATATACATGTTTGAAGAAATTAATTTATAAAAACTTTAATTACTATAATTCTATATTCGAGGTTATCGAGATTTTGCTTCGGTGCGATACAGCTCTGACGTATGCATGCCTCTAATTAATTATTACCAAGTAGTAATATATTATTTTTCTTTCCACAGCGATCCAAAATGGCAGCGAATCACAAACTAATGCGGTAAATATTTTACGTTACTGGCAATTTCTGTCTTCTTCTCCACTTCTTATATATTATACCGCATGTCAAAAGTATTATTTTTTTCGCGAAAATTTTAAAAATTATTGCAAATAGGCGTCGACTACAAATGGAGTAGCAGAATCGCCAACTAAAAGGTCTAAAGAAAGCGACAAGAGATCAACCGCTGGATCACCTACGAAATCACCTAGCAAATCTGCTAAATCACTACCGCGAACTCCCGACACGCCTTCGTCGACTGCCCAGGAGAAAAAGAGTAAGTACTTTTTGTTTCATTAATTTAAAAGAAACGAACTGACCTATATCTCACGTGAGCAAAATCTTATTCTACCGTCAACACAGTAAAACACGTTTGATTAATATTCTAACAATTCCGACATATATAGTCCTGGTTTTATATAAATATAATCGCATCTCTTTTACACCGCTGAGAAATTGGACTGAGAATGCCATAGAAAGAATTAGAGTAAGGACAATATTTAAAGTCACATTATTTCATTGACGTAACATCTGTTCCAATAATCGTGCATCTTCTAATCGTGCAGAAGTACCAATGAACAAAGTTCAAGTTGGCGCTGCACCCTCTCCGAATCTGAAGACTGTGCGATCGAAAATTGGCTCTCTGGACAACGCGAGTTATAAACCGGGCGGCGGCAAAGTGAAGATAGAGAACAGAAAGCTGGACTTTAGCAAAGCACAACCGAAGATCGCCGCGAAAAATGATAAATACACACCTAGCGGTGGCGACAAAAAGGTTGATTCCTTTCATTATTAAAATAAATTAATCATCCCATAAAGTGTTTCACCCATATATTAATAATAATAAAGGTCTCACTCATATTAACAATAATATACTTTCGCATTTTTTAGAACTTCTTAGTTTTTTCTTGATATAAATTTGATAGTTTAATATTAAAAATACATTAAGAAGATATTGACTATAACTATCAAATTTTTTCAATCATAGATCTCCCAAGTGAAACTTCAATGGACTGCTAAATCCAAAGTGGGCTCCTTAGAAAACGCAACTTACAAGCCAGGCGGTGGCGACAAGAAGATTGAGACGGTAAAACTCGATTTCAAGGAAAAGGCGAAACCTAAAGTTGGATCCAAAGAAAATACGAAACATGTTCCTGGTGGTGGTGCTGTTAAGGTGAGAGATTTCTAGTCGAGAAATCGATTACGTATTTGCAATCTATAGTTTAAAAACCAATGTTTACTGCAACCAGTTATATAACTAAATTGATTATTAGTTTTCCTATTTTTTTCTGATGCATTTTTATGTAAGGAATCATTTAATGAGATTTATTTAATCGAGATTCCGAGTTAAAAATATAAAGCATTGTTGTTTTTAATTTTGATGCTTTAATTAATAATATTAGCATGTAATCACTTTTTGCATCATATCTAAAAATGATTAACTTTAAAAATAATCATTAGCAACTTTACGCATGCAATTATACGTATGCGTTTACATTTACATTTTTATTAATATTTTATCGTTAGTATATATTTTATAATTATCTGGACGAGGGAGTAACACAGCTGCTATTTATTATTATAGATCATTGTATTTAAACATATTATATTTACACAAATATTACTTCTTCATTAATTGCAGGCTTCATTGAAATAGAATTCATTACAAATGCAATGCTCGCTTCGTTCATTATGTCACAAAAGCATCTAAGATAATTATTCAATATTAGTTATTATCTCTAAATTTCATTGAATGTATTGCATGCGGAATGCTAGCGTACAACGAAGTATAAAATAGTAATTATAAAATTAGTAATTTTAAATTCAAAAACTTATGATTCAACAAGGGAATAATTCATACTTTGACGATTTTAAAACAAAGTTAATAAGTTTCCAGTTTGGATGATTCTTGTGTGTGATTCACACACAACTTGAAATTTAATTTAACTTTACTTTACAAGCATCCAAGTTTTTAAACAAAGAATAGTACACGATTGGTCAACTCTTAACTTTTAAAGTTCGGATTGAAAAATATTGCCATTGAAAGCTGCAAAAATCGAATGTGCTAATTCGTATGCATGTGACATCTCTTGTCATTATTAACAAGTCATTGTTATTTTTCGGTGTTCAGTCCGCATCTCCACCTAAGACACCGCAGGAAACGAAGAACGACGTAAGTACATTATACACAACTAACGAAATAACATTAGTACGAATTATGCATATCATATGTGTATCTCTTTTTCTATCTTTTTCTTCATATTCTTTACGTTTTTATTCGTTTGGTTTGGCCTTCGTCTGATCGTAACATCTTGAGAGGCCAAAAATTAATTTCTTGTATTTAATTTCTTGTATTTCATCGAAATCGTGGAGGTAAAATTAATACGCGTCAAAAAAACAAATACGATTGAATAAAAATATCTAATTGCATACATTGTATATATCGCATCATTAATCTGTTGTGGAAATCGCTATTTATAATCAGTGGGATAGATCGCGGCCAGTTTACGTCCACGATTTACGAGATACGAAAATGTGCTTATCATCACTTTGCAATCGGTAAAGTTCTATCTATATCGCCGGATATAGACGTAAGTAAAATGTACACATTAGATGAGAAATTTAAGCATGTTTCTGCATGTTTCCAAATTTATATTTAGACTCTCTGTCCAGTTCAATATTATTATATTTCCTGTTATATACGTATATTGCTCTTTTAATCCGTTCTTAATTACATTGTGCCAACGAATGTACCATAAGTAAACAAGAAATATATTCCATCTGCTCGTTCAACTATGTGAAAAGAAAAATGGAAGAAATTTTTTATTTTTCAGCTTTTTTTATTTCCATCTTCCACTAATCGCTTTTTAAATAGGATTTTATCAACGGATGAATAATATCGGTTGTCGTACCTTCTTTCAGATCCCGACGCAAAAAATAGAAATCAAGGCCGAAAGTAAAATTGGTTCACTGGACAATGTGAAGCATAAGCCGGGCGGTGGCGAAAAGAAAATTTTCAACGACAGAGACTATCTTCGACAAACGAGTTCCAACGTGGAAAGCCTGGACGGCAGCGGATCTCAGGTATGTTTGCAACATAAATATAAAAAGTCTTGAGAATAATTTTGTCATCAAATTCTTTCCGATTTTTACACGCGTTGTGGATTTTACACTTGTTTTTTTTTTCATAATTTTATACAATACATTTTATACAATAGAATACATCATGATAATGAAAATTTCTAGTTTAAGATGCTATTACTTCTCGAGATTTTTCGCATATAACATTTTTGCACCACGTGCTTAAACACGCGTTGCATGCGTCTTTGCAATACAGCACACAATATCATTGACCTACACCTAAATAATATGTCAAAAAATAAATATATATAAACAATATTCGCGAAATACATAGAGTTTATAAAATATTAAAAGATATTTAGATATGTTAAGAATTTATGAATTCATTATTAATTCATTCTTCATAGTTACAAAGTTTATCTTATGCGAAAAGATAATGTCGTCCATTGATTAGCTGATTTTTGCATCCGTTCTTACAGGAATACAAATGTGTGACACTTTTTCAATGCCTCTCTTTCTCTTATTTTGGAGAAACTGTTCTGTTTTTGAAATTATTTAAACTATTTCTACTGGTTGTTACCTTCGCAAAAGTGCGCCTATCGTAAAATTATATAATCGTACATCATAATGCAAATTATCCGCGTTGCAAAATTGAGTAAGATTAATCGTAATACAAATATCTGTTAGTTAAATTTCTAAATTTTATTTTTAACAAGACAGAAAAGAAAAGATTGTGCAGAACCAGTTAATAATTAACGATTAAAATTAATTAATATCGAAAAATGAATCCGAAATCGACAAGTGCGCACCAATCAGGATAAGCCTCATGAAATAAAATGGCATAAATTGTTAAAACATTATCTGATCGAATTATTGGAATAATGTTTAATGACAATATTGGCGGGATTTATCTACGAAGGGATTAAAAGAGGGATATTTATCTAGTCAATTTACTCAGTTCGCAAAGATGCTGCAGGCTTAATCCTGATGTCTTGTGCCCGCAGAGCCCCGTGCCCTCCGGCGCGATCACCAACTCCGGCAAGAATGGCCTGCCAGCCTCGGACGAGAACCTGAACCAGGAATGCTAGGTCACGAAAAGTCGGCCGATAGACCCGCTTTAACTATATCATTTGCATACGATTAATCACGTTTACCTTCAATCCAACCCCCTTTAGAGGACGAACGAGCGCGGTCCTCGCACGCGCCTGATCGAGAGCGATGTTGAGACAGACGGGCGCACGAAACTCCGCGGAAAAAACGGAGCTTTGCGATCGATATCTCTCGTCCCCGCGCGCGAATGACGGAAATTTTTCGCGACGGACGAACTTAATCAACGAACGAAGCAATATACGTTATCGCATTGATTTGTTGTTAAGTCGAGCGCGAATTCCGAGTGTGCATCTTATTCTGCATTTGCAGCAACTTTTAATTATCTTAAAAAAAAAAAGAACAAATGGGATAGATCATGATAAAAAAACATTCTATAAAAAATACGCATAATACAAATCTACGTAATATATCTACATACACATAATAATGTCTTATTACGTAAATCATAAAGCGCGCAAGAGAAGTGAAAAATGACTGAGAATTTCTATTAATATACAGCAGTAAAAAAAAAAACAATTTTCACGCGCTGTGCAAAGTCTTTATTTTTTTAAGTAATGGAATAATTTTTTTATCGAGTGTTATATTCTTGTCACATGACTCCTTTTTACGATTTAATTATTGATATGACATCTCTTTTATGTACCCCTATATAAATATGAGTAATTTGCAAATTATCGATTTTTGATACGCATTTGTGTCATAAAAAATAATATTACGATGCATCACGATTTATCATCATCGCGCATATCAAGCTGCAATGATACATTCATAATCTATTACAATGAATCACGCATAGTACGGTATAATTGCTTAAGAAGTTAAATCGATAATACGCGATAAGAATAACGAATGTATCGACGAGCCAAACTATATAAACGAATTCAAATTTTTCATATTTAATTTTGCGGAAAATGCGAGTATAATCGTATCATCTTGAATTTTTATTTAATTTACAGTATCAAGCTGTATTTAATATATAGAGGGTGTAATATTGATTTTATTCTCATTTAATTCTCTAGCCTCTTAATTATTTCTTTACGTAGATAAAAGATAAAAGTACAACAATCCATAATCCGTGCGTCATCGTAACGTAGGAAAAGTACCATCGTGCACGTCCTCTCAAGGGAAGTAGACGTTTTAGATAAAAAAAAAGAATAAAAAGCGCATATTAATTTTCACGTGATCTTGACAACCAACGCGCCTCGGTATCGCGTATTATATCGTCGCATTTCATCGTCATGGAGCGACATTGGGATAATTAAATTGCGAACAACGGTAGTTACCAATTCGCGCAAGATATAATTTCGCTTGACGTGGTCTGATGATTTCTGAAGAGACGAGAGACTACAACGCAGACAGCAATATCGATCGGCGCAGAATGGATCATTAGACAGCCAACGTTGCACCAATGATTGATTAATCGGTAGATAACTCTGTAGCTTTTCCGCTCTATCTATATACGACTGCGATTACGATATAGAGGGGGATCGCGAAATCGCTGCATCGCGGAGCTTCTCACGCAGAGTCATCAAGTTAATCATAATTAATTCGGTGCAATGTGGCCGGAAGCGAATAAGTTAAGAGTTTCGGACGAAAGGAAAAGTGCCAGAAGAGAGAAAGAGAGAGAGAGAGCCGCGTTTAACACGAGGGTGAATCGCGACGAATCCTCGCGAGACATCCGTCTAAATAAACGGGGCTGATTACAGATTGCGCTTATAGAAAGACGATAGGATATACGAAATATTCGTGTAAACCTTATTGTAGATACGTAATCGATACATATGCTATCCCGTTACATCCTACGAGTATATAACGTATTATTTGATGCGTAAGCATCTGGAAGGCTAATGGTGAGGGTACGTCGACGAAGAGGAGAGATCGATGATGGAAAACGCCCGAGTCGCGCTAGACCACGCCAAAAATAAAAATCTCTCACTTACGTCACTGCTACCTTAGGTACCTCGTACAATTCACATGTTGCTAGAGACAGGGAAAGAGAGAAAGAGAGATATGTATAACACATTATTTACACTATATTGCTTCCACATGAATTATTAAGAGATATTTTAATTCAATTAACATATTGTGCGACACTTCACGAAGACATAATGATAATTAACGTTAGATTAATTGTCGTGTAATTGTCACAAGTTACCACTTCGTACGAACGCAATAGTGTAACAATTATCCAGCGTATCCTGGACTATGATTGCTGAAGAGGTATTATAATAATATTTTTGTTTTTAAATTTACATTTTCGTTATTTATTTCAACACTTCCGCCGAACATTCTCCTCCGATTTTCTTGCTGAAGAAACGGTTGCGTCCCCACTTATCTTTATAAAGATGTATGTAGAACGCAATTAGCTGCATTATCTAAATGTCTATTGCCAAATATAAAACGTACACTACAAAAAAAATACGTATAATCGTCTTCACGCGATGGGTAACATCCAGGAGTAAGATTTTTGTCCATATTTTATTAAAAAAGTTCCATCAAAGTTGTCGATATAAATTCTTTAATTTGTAATGTCCCACAACAAAGATTCTTAAGAAAAATAAATTAATTAAAACTGACTAACATGAACATTTACAACACCATTTATGAAATTAAAATCTTTATTTTTAGAATTAAATTTAATTCTTTTTGATAATTGAAATGATATGGAAAGATAAAGGAATATAATCTTCTAATGAGGTCTGTTAATATTTCTTTTCTCATATTTCATTTAGGACACAATAAGCTCAAATTTAATTACCATTTCAAAAATTAGAAATTCAACTTTGCAGAACCTGTCAGTTCTTTCAAAATTAATTACTTCATGCAAGAGAGATTTACGAAGATCACGAAGATTTCACATCGATATAGACACGATCCTAAAACTAATCCTTGCTGCAGTTTGGCACGAACGGTACCAGCAAACACGAATAGTCCCTCGATCCTTCCTTACCAATGTCTACTTAGACGTATTTTAGAAAACTTACCACTTTAAAAGGATAATACGCACAGCGTGTGCCTTACCCTCACAATTCACCTCCAAGGTCTGCAAAAGCATCGCCATCACTCACCGCCTGCCAGTCAAGAGGTCAGTCTGCACACACTATGTAATTTTTGGTAACGAGAGGGATGCATCTAGTATTACAATTCACTGAATAATCAATATACATTACTAGATACATCCAAGTATATTATGCATCGTGTTTTTTATTCATCGAATATTTAAAAATAAATTATCGTCGATTCCAGGCTCAGACTCCGGTGAATGACCGCCACTTTCCAGACGATTCGAAGATCGGCGACAACGAGATACTCCAGCCTCAACCGCCACCCTCTACGCCGACCAAAGCACGTGGCGTCACATCACCCTCGTCCATCGTGACACCCCGAGCCGTTAGGAGCGGTTTGGCCAAATCTCCGGAATCCACAACGCCCAGAAGACAACACGCACAAGAGACGGAGGGTCTAACCCTCACGAACGGACGAGCATCCACAACACCCTCGCCGGATGCGACGAATGACAGAAATACACCGAAGGGTCGCTCACCGAGATCGCCGAGTTCCCCGCGTCCACCCAGCAGCTTGCGCGTTAAATCCGCTGATGATAAATCATCCCCCGGCACTCCTAGGAAAACATCCCCCGGCACACCTAACAAAACGTCTCCCGGTACACCGAGAAAAACTCCGTCTCCTAGAGAGTTGCGTCTTCCGAAACTCACACCTTCGCCGATACCACAAGAAAATACAAATCCAGCAGTCCCCGAAACTCAGTCGAAAATTACTTTACCCAAACTGGTTGAACCATCTTCGAAAGCTGCTCGAATGGCGTATTAGAATCATCGAGTCAAAAATATGACGGGCTTTCTAACACTTAGCACAAGATACCTCAGACAACTTGCATTTTCTTTCTGCTGCTTTATTCGATTAATTTGAAATTTCGATTTCCTTATCAAAAATCTAATACTTCTATCACAAATTTTTTTAAAGTTTAAATATTTCTTCATATTAGATTAGATATTTTTTTGTTTACAGTTCAGGAATTTTTTATATATCGTAAATGAAGCCTATGTGTTGACACTTTGATATTTTTTTCTATTTTTCTAAAGAAAAATATTTGAAATAAACTCGTATATAAAAGAAAGAATGCGAGGATACTTGGAGCATCTTGTACATTTTATGAGAGTAAATGCAAAAAGTAATAATTTAGAACAACTAACAGTAGAAAATCAGTAAAAAATCATACTTGCTAGAGTAGATGTCTTCTTTTTATTGATGAATATAATCCTAATATATGTAAGTAAGAAAGTAAATTTTTCTAAAAGTAAAATTAAATCTAAACGTAAATTTAAAAGTAAATCTTTCGTAGAAATAATCTCTAATCAATAAATAGATTTGAAAGTAAACTGATAATTCGAACCAAAACAGAATAAGGACTTGTTCTTCTTTACAAGTCTTATATTTTCCCAACGAAATCGTTATATTTCCAACTCTGTATCTTCCTCAGAAAGATTAACTTTAATCGATGTCGGAAATAAAAGTGCCGTCCAAAATAAATATATTAAATAAATATATTACTAAGCTTTAGTAAATTATTAACGCGATATTATTTTTATATCACAAATATTTCTAATATCCTTTTTTTATTTTATTCGTGATAAATCAATAAGTAAATAATTTTTTAAAATAGTTTTTAATTATAAATTTATAAATTTTTTTATAAAATATCTTTAACAATTTGTTTATGAATCAATGATTTTTATTAACATCGCGCGCAACTTTCAAAAATATATATATAGAAGTAACAAAAATATATTATAATGTCTAAAAAGTATAATTTAAAAATATGCGCATATATATTAAGTAACGAGTGGGAAATTAAAGGAAAATATGGAAAAAAGCGTGAAAAAAATTGCAAATTATAATACACATGTGATTTATAGAGAAGTAAATATATATATGTATAGACTATATTGTTTCATATATAATTGAACACACTTGCAGTACAAAATTATCTCCTTGCAAAATTATTTTGCGTTTACTCGAGTTTAATATAAAAACCTATGTAAATACAGTATGTCAATCGGCCATAAACCTATGTCAGTTTTTCTTTGGCAATGGAGGTGGAACTAATTTAACTCCATAAAAATAAGGATGACTCAATCCTTTTCTTGCCGTTATCCTTTGATTAGGATCGTATGTCAGCATTTTCTACAAACATAAAAAAAAACATACATGCGTACAAATTCTAACGCGCTTCCGCGAAGTAAATGCTAGCTTCTCTTTTATCCTTACTGAAATTAAATCTTTGGCGTTGTCGTTGAAAGTAGGTAAAACGTCGCCTAAATTACTGGCCTCCCATCTCGGAAATCTGGATGTGTAATCTGGAAGCTGTGTCACACCTGGCCAGATTGTTTCGTCTGGTGTACCGAGCATGCGAAATATCCTAAACAACTGATCTATCTCGGAATCACCGGGAAATAGAGCTCTCCTAGTTGCCTATAAAGATCGTATTGTTTCGTAAAATCCACGATTATATATGCGATGCAACGAGTTTTCGCGCAATTTTCACGTACCATTTCGGCGAATATGCAACCAAGACTCCATACATCCAGCGCGCAGGTATACAATTTGGTTCCTAAAAGCACTTCCGGTGCTCGATACCAAAGCGTGACTACCTCGTGCGTATAAGTACGCACGGGAACGCCTATCATTCTTGCTAATCCAAAGTCAGCCAATTTTATATGACCTTCTCGATCTATCAATAGATTCTGCGGTTTTAAATCTCTATGCAATATACAACGAAGGTGACAAAAGGAAATTGCTTTTAATAGTTGGTAGAGATAACTCTGTAACACAATGCAAAACCAGCTCTTAAAATGTACACGTACTATTAGCCTCAAATTCGAAAAGTATATCCGAGCCTATACCTTGACGAGCGCGGGTTCTAAGCCTCCTTTAACGGAGTCTAGCAACTTTTTGAGATCTTGCTGCAGAAATTCAAAAACGAGGTACAAGTGGTTATCACCGTCTACGACATCGAACAATTGTATGATGTTTGGATGTGCGAGGTCTTTCAATAACGATATCTCTCGTATAGCGGTAGACGGGACGCCTTCTCTTTCCCTGATTTAAAGCAACACTTTAATTAAGTAAAAATGTACATGACTATACCTGATCAATATGCTAAAAAAAATATAGTTTTCTTTTGTTTTTGTCTTTTAACGATATCGATATTTCTCACTCGAATTATTTACTCACAAATTGCTTATAAACATTTAAACACAATATTTAGAACATCAAAGTAGCATTGGTGTGGAAAAAAACATATATCGTATAATAACATAATATAAAAGCAATTCTGTTAATTTCTGTTTTCCTTCCCAAAAAAATTGTTATCTCTAATGAGATTGCAAGAAATATATACATGTTCTTATCCCGAAAATAATTATAATAAGAAAAACGTGTCTTATTAAATTATTATAAAATTACATAGTGTATTAAATAAAAAATACCAAATCAAAAACCAGGCGAGCATAGCATAATGGGACAAGCTGAATAATGTGGTGCTACGAAAATTAGTGTAACGTGGCCCCCGCAGATTCAGCTGACCCCAATATGCAGGTTGTTAGCAGTGTGTTAGCAGTGTGCACAAGCAAAAAGCCCAGCTGATATTGCAGTTCTGCAAACTGATAATTTTCGACATATATACGCAAAGGCCGAAATTAATTTTGTAATATCAATTTAATTTATCAGTATTTATGGCTTATCGGAAAATTGACTATTATTAAAATTTATAGGGATACATTATTAAAAATTTTAAATTATGCTATCGAAATATACTTATGGGTTTACCTAAGTTAGAAATAATTAACATTACAACCATCTTATATATACATGTACACCCAAAAAGATACAATGGTATAAATTTTTCAAAATTTGACGAAGAAACTTCTTGTTAAAATCCTGTTAAAATAATTTTCAAATATTTTTATGCTTACAATCCTCGAGATTGATTTTATATACAACTTATATACAAGTTAAGAATGTAAATGAATAATTTATTAAAATGTTATCAAGCATCAAAGACAGCAGATATTAATAGTAGTTATGGAAATTACATTCTGCACTAGATTAATGAAAGCTCTTAATAATCAAATGCTATATGAGTCTGGATATAAATAAATTATTATAAATTATTATAAAAAGAAGAAAACATGTGCTTTCCTCTAACAGGCAAGTACAATAAATTAATAGTTAAATTAAAAAAAAAGTTAGTTACTTTTCATTAAAAGAACAAGAGGAAAAAGTACCTTGTGTACATGTGATTTTCCTCTTCTAATATATATGTTATACAATCAATGAAAAGAGGATCATTAAGGATATAATGTAACAAATTTTTTGAAAAATTTGACAATCAAACAATTTCCCATTGTGATACTATATATATACATGTTCCTTCAAAAAAATTCTGTTAAATTCCTAACAATTAGTAACAAGATTTTGTAACAAAAAAATTATTAAAAATTCCAAAGAGATGCGTCACATGTTCTCCTGAAGAAACACGTGTCACGGAATTTTATTCTTATCAAAATTAAAATTCATGATTCACTCTAACATGTTTAGAAACATATAATGACATCCTAATGAGATGGAGGAAGCGGGATAGATGTGTACAAAGGGACATACGTTTCTAGTCGAATCTTCTTGAGCGCCACCAGCTTCCCGGTGAGCTTGTCCTTGGCCTTGTAGACAACTCCGTACGTTCCCTCCCCTATCTTCTCGATCTTCACGAAGTTGTCCATAACCTCACCGTTGCCGCGCTCGTCCTTGTCGCGAGCTCGTGGACGCCGCTCCTCTCCGGCCAGGGCGCCTTCCCTTACCAATTCCGTCGTCGACGCCGTCGTTGATGCGCGTCTGTTCTCTCAGATGGATGCACGTAATCCCCAGGACGATCGACCTCGACCCACCTCGTCGATGAAACTGTTTTATCGCGCTTGTTTATCAACACGGCGAGGCACGTACTACGCACGATCCTAACGCGGTGTGGCCATTTTTATTTTTTAGGAGGGATGGAGAGAAAAGAATCGATAGCATGAATCGATGGACGTTGAGCGCTCGAGATCGATGGTCGTTAACCCGCGTTAAATAATCGACAGCGCAACCGGGTGAATGAACTCCGTCACGAATATGTATATTTTTATACACCTTGAGATATAAGTAATTTTCATTAATTGCGAAAAATTAATCGTAAAGAAATTTAAATGTATATATATATTTTTTTTCATAAATTTTCGACGAAGCTTCAGATTGTGCATCGAGAGAAAAATATTTTCATGCAACATCGAATAAACATACATCTAGAGATTGAGATGCTTTATTTATTTATCACAATCACTATACGTGGAAACATCTAATTGACCCTATTACTTAGCCTACTTGATATTTTGTATATTTTGTATATTTTACTAGTGCCTAAATGCAATATATATTTTTGTTTATTACAATGAAAATTTTTTTTAACTTTGTATGTGCTTAATATATTTGAAACTATTTGTCTTCCATTGAAATATACCGCATGAATATCGAAAGCTACGCGAATACATAAGATTCGATTTATTTCAAATTTTAAGTAGTTATCTTAAATTTCCACGTATATATTTCTAAAAGGATGTATATATGGGATCAAGACATTTTTTATATAAGGAGATAAGTCGAGTATAATTCGAATATGATTTCCATTCTTCAACATGTACATACATGTTCCATCACATCTTTAAGATTGTCGATATTTGAATCCTTCCACACGTATCAGATTTTGATTTCAAAAAATGCATTACACATAGATAATATAATTAAGTTTCTAACATGTGTTATTTCTGTTACACAGAAGTGCGAATCATTCTCATATGTGATTTTCATCGGATTTCTCTCGATTATTCTTAGTTATATGTTTCTTAAATTTAAGTCTAATTACGAAATATTATACATGTAACGATATATTATATATGTAATGTGATTATGATACGATATTTAAATAAAAATATGTATATAGGAATTATGCTACCGTGTATATATCTCGCGTGTACAACACGAGCCCTATTCCGTACATATAAAATATATGCACGTTTCTACCGAAGGTGGGCAGAGGCGCGTAAGAATTGGAATGTTTGCGAAATTTTATTTTTACGCTCGTCGGAAGATACATCCACAAATAACTTTCTACAATTCGTGAGACATAACTGGCACTCTGACAAATTTGAGCAGACTCAAACATTCATTAAAAAAATGATATATTAAAAAACTCGTCGAAATAATACTTCTTAAATATTAAAAGAATTTTCTAACGTGCGTCATGTTAAATACTTTATCGTTCAATAAAATATTTTTATTGAACTAATAAAATATTTTTATATTGTTCAATAACGAATTTTATAAAATCTGTTTATATTTAATTATATTCTTAAAATATTTGATTCAATTATATTCTTAAAATTTTGAGTAAACGTAACAACACATAGCAACGATTTCAATTCGCTATTGAACAGCGATGATTATTATTTTAATAGCCTCTCGGAAAGACATTCACGAGAACAAAACTACAGATTCATCCCATCTCACGTAATGGAGTTGGATAGAAAATATGCTATATTTTCTAATGTCTAGAATGGGCACGATGTAAACGTACATTATTTTCATGCATATTAGATTCATCTTCCTCATAAAGATATATATATGTTACGATTTTATTATTATGCAAATTGTCCGAAAAAACCTGGAAGGATATTATTTGTAAAAAAGACATTTTTCGTAATAAATATTACTTTTCGATATGATGATTTAAATATGTTCATTTATAATCACGAAAGCTTAAAAGTTTTAGATTAAGAATTCTGCAAGAAAGCGAGATAATTATAGTTCATCAATAACTTCCCAGGTCGTTTAGGACATCTGATATTTAGCTTATATTATGCATAAGCTTTATTAAAATGCACAGAGTAGCATTTAATCTCAAGCATTTAATCTCAAGCAAAGCACTTATACTGAATATTTTTGGTGGATGAAACTTGAAATATATGACAGGTCTCTTATACTATGATAGTATTTTACTAAATAATAATCTATTGATACATATGTATATTTGATATATCTTAAGTATTTTAATTTTACAACATATTTTCGACAATATATATATGTATAAAAAAAGAGCATATAAGAAATAAGAACGATTTCCAAAGATTTGGAACACTTGCCAAAAATAAGTCAAGTTTCATCCAAATTAGATATGATATTTGTAAGAGTATAATTACAATTTGTTCTAATTATTTGAATTAAAACTTTTCAATATAACAAAAGATATTGCACACATTAGGCTATCAAAAATTTGAAATATAAAAAATAATCTCTTCAGACATAAAAATATTATAAAGTTATCTAAGTGTGTACTCAAAGAAGATATGACAAAATTTTTTTGTTCGGAAGATATAAATTTCTAAATGTTATCGAATAGTTACGTATATAATGTAATGTGATGTATTCTTATATATATATATGTGTGTATAAGAGAGAAAAATACGATTGATACGATTATATGATGTTATATCATCTACTGTTTCCATGATTACTTACACTTTTCCATAAAAAAATATTAAAAAAAAATTAATTTGCATATTTTCTTACAGCATTTTTATTTCAATCCATATATTTTTTTAATTTTATATATTATGTATTCCCAATTTTTTTTTGTTTTAAACTAGCATAATTATAGTATGCTAGATTTTCATCACCAACTTCCATCTTATCAAAGAGTTATTGAGAACAATGCAACGAAATTTAATAGAAATATACTTACATAATGTTTTCTGTTTGTAAACTACAAGGCGCATTGAGGCTTATGAGTTCTAATTGTATGACTAGAGCACACATTCTGTTATTATTTGTCTAACTCATTCTAAAATCTATGATTGCCCAGTCGAAAAATCAGCTATTATTTCTGTTGAGCATTATACATGTCTATATAATCATCTCAGTATTAAAAAATAAAATTTAAATTTTAGCTCTTGAAAAATATATTGCATATAAACGGGCAATCAAAATAAAATTAATCTTATATATTTGTCTTTTTTATACCCGATAAAAGTAATATGAAATAATATGAATAAAAAAAAGATTAAAGAAAGATTGAAATTTTTTTCAAATGTATCATCGAATCAATATAAATAATTATGCCGCGGAAAAATAGCTCTTGCAGCTTTTTCCTGTGGATCTAATTGATTACGGTAATGTCTTGCCAAGAAAGCTGCAATCACCTGAAAATGTTTAAATTCATAAAATCCAAACAAAATCTGCGAAAAATGTAATAGAAAAAAATATACAAAATTTATCAAGATCCCTCTTATTTTTCATATTATATATATGTAATTTAAAGATTTTTTAGAATATTATGAATGTATGAATATTAGCACATATGAATATTTGATCAATAAAATTACAAAAAACATTAAACATTAAACAAAAAAAACCACAACCAACATTATGAAACCACCCACCATCTGTTAGGAGGATCATATGAAGTGACAGAGGACATGGCGATGGTGTTAGACTAGAGGAAAGCACTAGGATTAGCTCGTGGATCTTTCTGGTTCCTGTATCTCACGGTCAACCATACACCAACAAACTGTAATTGGGCACACATGTTACATAAACAAAAAGACACCTTTTGACTATAACCAAAGTAATTAAAGCACTTATATTTAAATTTCCAAATGTTGAATAATTTTATGTAAAATATGTTCTGCACAATAGTATTTATAATATAATATATCCATGCATATATATATATATATATATATATATATATATATATAATGTGCGAGATTTATGTACATGAAAGATAAAGTGACATTATTTGTAAAATCTTACCTCCGTAAAGCTAAAGAATAATCCTATGCTACCACACAATTTGAACGCATAGTCAATGGTAGATTGCAGTTTATGCATACATGTTGGACAAGGTGGACAAGGCATTAAACTGGTATCAATTGATTGACAGCAAACCTTCTGTAAAAGATTAGAATGATTAAATTATTAAATAAATATTACTTTTATTTTGAACAAAGGTATTTTTACTTACCTCATCGCAAGGTACAGCTGGATCTTCACTAGTACCATTAAATCCGCAACAATTAAAAGTGGTTTGAACTTTTCTCTTCAAATCATATTCAACATGTGTCCAGCCCTAGAAATAATTATTAAATTTTAGATCTTTATTTCTTTAGAATAATATGATTGCAATACTTTTTAAATACAAAAATTACTTGTTCTGCAAGTTGTTCTTGCTGTTTAGTGTTGACAGCAAGACAAGCACAGGCGATGCTAAATTGAATGAGGAATAAAAGAAATAATATAAGCATGTACTATAAACTATAATTAAGGAATTATATATTTATTTCTTTTATTGAGAGAGAGAGAGAGAGAGAGAGAGAGAGAGAGAGAGAGAGAGAAAAGAAATAGAGAATATACTATTCAATATTGTTACTCAATAAAAATTTATATAAAATATATTAGATGTAATTAAAAATAATATATATGTTAAACAAATATCTTCTTTTACAAATATTAGATATATGATAATGATTTCAGAATATGATAATGTCACAGGTACAAAGATAAATCAAGTGATATTAAAATATGATAATGTCACAGGTACGAAGATAAATCATGTCAGAGATCAATGTTTGTTTTATGAATCTAACTGATATCAAATTACAAATTGATAAGGATACAAAGAACAATAAAACCTGATGATGTTTAACAGCGCCAATCAGACCCAGAATAGAAATAAGAAACAGGATCACTCCGCATGCCAAAATACCACCAATAATAGGAAGGTTTGTAACTAAGGCAGATGCTCTTCCATATACAGCAACTCCTATTAGTATAAAGGCAACAACCTGTAAGAGAAAAGAATCATTAGTCATAGAATTTTATTATTAAACCTAAAGAATAATACAAAAGTGATCCATTAGTTGATATTATAATATTAATATTATATAGCATTTATTTATTAGATGATAAATGCTATACAATCTTAAACTAACACATTAGACTTATATATAATTTGAATACTAATTTTCAGCCAGAGATTATCATTTAAAATAATTATTTATGTGTATCAATATAACAGTAAAGAAATCCATAGTTCCACGAATACTGCGACATTCGTACAATATAATTCTTAATTACAATAATAATCCTTTTTAATTATCAGATAATCAATGATAAGAAATGCACGATGTAAACATTAATATAATAATTAAACGAATTTTCTCTCTCTTTGTACCAATAGAGATCATAGAGATCACAGATTATATGAGTTAATATAGTAATCTACAGAGACACGAAGAATCTCTTTAATCGGTCAATGTGCCCTTAAAATTAGTCGATGAATTATGCAACGCATAAACGTCCTTCCTGTAAATAATATAATGTCAAAATGAGGGTCGATCGAATGAACGAGAGCAGGAAGAGGAGCATGAGAGTACTCAAAGCGAAAGATGTGCTACTTACGATGTAGAGAATGTTGAGTGCTGTCAGCGCATTTTTGGAGCACGTAAAACCGCCGCACATCTTCGGTTGCGCCCGTTCCTCGATGTCCTCGTCGAAGCCCTGCAGCCGCGGTCGACTCGCGTCGCGGGCGATTTCCAGCGAGAGACTCTCGGAGCTCTCGTCGCCGAGCTTTACACGAAGAGACGACTGTGCTACGCTCGATTACAATTCACAAAATTTCGCACTTCACAGTCTTAATCCTGCAACGAAACCCCCACGATGGCAGACAAGTCGCGACTGCCCGAACCAGCGCGATGGCGACGATCGATGCGCTCGATAGATTTGCGACTATCACGCGCGAAACACAAACGTCAGTAAGTACGCGCGGCATGTTCGGGAAAGCCAGCGAATTCAAATCGATACATAATATCGATTAATTTCCATTTCGAAGACATGGAAGTGATTTTTGCATCTATCCGTGATAATAAAATCGTCTCGGTAAAACTTGTAATTTGCTAAAATCATGCTGATTTCAAGCTTTAATATTGGTGCCAACCGAGAAAACGCTTACACACTGTATGTACAATGTGCGATAGCAATAAGTAAATTTGAACTTTGATATATCTTGAGAATTTTTATTTCTACAAAGAAATAAAAAATTGAATTAAATTTCTCTTATCTATAGTTCAATTTTAGCAACATATTTATATTGCCGTTTAATTTTCTGCAAAACAAATGTAATGAAGAAAATGAGAAAATATCTTTTGTCTTGTTTTGTGTCTCATCGAAGAGATACAATCTCTCTGATGAAATATTCGCATTTATTTCTCACGAAATTTCATCAGAGACAAATGTTTACATTGTAAATATGTTACATCAAAACTCGAGTGATTTAACGTTAACAAAGGAACAGAGACAACACATAAATATTTTCTATATTGGAACGTAGTTCCAAGTCATGCAGCTATTGAAATATTTTATATTTTGTTCGAAAATGTTAACTTAATTCATTTGATTAACATAATGACATTAAAGCATTTATGTGTATATATATAGTCATTTTTTAAAACAAATTTATATACTTTAAATTTATACAAATTAAGGATATTATTTAGGAAATTATAACAATTATTGACTAGTTTTTGATAAATATATGATTTTTTAATTTTATTTATTAGTTAATTTTAATAATTATTAGTGATAATTAAAATTAACGCTCTTTTTAAATAATTATGAATATCAGTTAATATCGTGTATTTTTAGCATATCACGAAATTAAAATATAAACGGTGTAAAAAAAATTCGAATATATAAAATTATATTTCATTTATTATATTATTTCATTTTCATATTATTATTTTTATATTTAATTATTTTATTATTTAATTTACATTATTTAATTTACAAATATATTCTCGGATGACATAATTATTTTATGTAAAAATCTCTAAAATATTATTTATCAATTAGAAAATTTTTACGTTTGACAATACCTAAATTGCGACAACACAAAATGTGCGATGCACTACAAGCTAATTATAACCAATACCAAATTATAAATGATAAATATTTTCGCAAAAATTTGTGATACGCTACGTTTGCAAAAGGATTTACATAATGTGTACATAACGTGAACAAGATTTCGAGATGATATATCGTCTATGGAGATGTACGTCGTGTACATATTTCATTTAGAGATAGCTAAGAGGAAAAAAAAGTTTACAAACATCAATGTTAGGTATGAAAGTACATTACCAATAATTTATTTACGTAGAAATTTTATAATGTTTTTTGTACATCATTAAATTGTCCTGTATTCAATATATCAAATAAGTTAGTCAGCATGAGTTTTTGAATTATCAAAAAAGAATTATCATTTATAATGACTTTAATGATAATACAAATTACAAGATTTACAACAATTTATTTGGGGAAAAGAAAATAAAAATCTATAAAAAAGTAGAAAAGTGATTAAAATATTTTTATCAAAAAATGATAATTGCATATTTTGACAATGCTACTTTATAAATTCAATGCTTGTTGTTAATGTTTTTATTATTATATTTTATAATAATTTATTATCATTTATACATAAATTGTCGAGAGAGATACTTAATTTTTTGTTTATACAAATTACAACATTTTAGTAAATGTATATTGGATGCGCAAGACGCATTTGTGATAAATTATTATGGTTTTGAGACACGAGATAATGATTAATATCTGATTTAAGTGATTAATAGAAAATATTACAAATATCAGTCATTGTTATGAAAGCAAATTGTTAATACTTCATTTAAATATTTTTTTTATTATTTTATTTTGCACATCATTATAAATCTCTTATTATTATAAAAAAGTATTACAGAATACACTTATTGTCGATGTAATCTACATTTTTTTTACAATGTACTTTTTTAATAACAAATGATAGATACTAGAGATAGATGCTAGAGATGAGTTACTAGAGAGTTTCATTTATAATGACATAAATAAATGACAATAGAAATCACACGAGTTTATTATACTCGTGTACAATTTATTTGAGGAAAATAAACAAGTATAAAAAATAAACAAGTATAAAAAAAGGGAAAAGTGATTAAAATGTAGCAAATATAAAAATTATCTGGCACTTCGACAATTCGACTTTGTAAATCTAATGTGAGATATTTAATATTTTTATAACTTGTAATACACAAATCGTTATCAAGAGATACTTTAATTTTTGTTTACATAAATAATGACAAGTTATGCATTACAAAAAAAAATTCTTGCGCTTTTATATGTTCCTATTGTTGTTTTACTACTACGATTATTGACAACAATCCTAAAGAGATTATTTATATCACAGTTACGATAGTAATATGATTAACTACTACTATCAAAATGTATAATATTATTGCGTGTTTGTTATTGTTAATCTTGACTTGTAATAAAAAGCTGTTTATGAATAACTCTATATATATTCATTTTTGTCTTTAATTAACATAAGATATTAATCCTATTACATTATGTAGCAGGAAACAAAGGAGCTAATCCTATTCCACGATTCTATAAACTTTCATTCACGATTATTAACGCAATTAATATGAAACATTTCAATATATTTAATTTTTTCAAATATAATACTAAATTAGGAGAATTATTTTATTAACATAATAATAAAAGAGTGAAAAAAATACTTCATAAATCTATTATTAAAGTAATATACATATAAATGTTTTTTTTTATAAATTATGTTATCTTATAAATTTTTTAAGTATATAAAAAGAACAATAATATAAAACATATATTTAGAAAATAGAAAAATATGTTGTGATGATTTCTGATGATTTCTATTATTGATATTTAATTATCTCAATTAATTTAAGTTATATTTATTATTATATTTGAAAAATTAAATACATTGAAACATTTTATATTACAATTGCATTAATAATTGTGGATGTGTATTAAGTAATAAAGCAAATAATATATCGCAATATTTATTAAGATAAATATATAATATTTATTATACTGTGTTATTTCAAAATATATATATTTCTTTATTTAAAATTGCCTTTATTATGTCTTTTTATTAATTAGAATAACGTTGTTTTTGTTTCCAAACAATCAAATGCATAATAATATTTCCAGTAGTATATATTAAAAAATAATTCAGCATTATTCTCGGTTCTTATCTTTTCTGCAGAACTTAATAATGATAGGTAAATACTCTCATAAAAGTGAGGACACCGATAGATTCGCCATGAATTGCTGATAACGAAAGCACTGATAAAGTAACATATAAAATCTACGGCGTCATACATACGCTTCACTGTAGCTGAAATGTGGGTCCATTAAAATTCGAGCGCCGTTAGATTAGTGGGCATTCGTCGTCTTCCCTGGTAGCATTTCCTATGTTCCATCACTATTTCTGTAAGTTTAATATCAACTTAAAATTTAATAGACTTTTTAATATCAAACGCTTAAAACACAAATAAATTTAATTTTTAATTTGTAAATTTTATCCTAATAATAAGCGTGATATTATATTTATTTGAACGGCGAATTCTGGATTTCGGTCTATATCAATTTTTATTTTTATTTTTTAATAGTATATACATAATGTTTCATAATATTTAATTATAATATAATCACATCTAAATTTTCCTGATAAACTGATTCTTATTTCAGTCAGTGTAATAAGAAGAAATAAAAGATGGAGCAATTCCGTAATCGCTGGTGTCAGTATTTAGCAGCAATTACAGGTAAATAAAATTTAAACTGTTTTTAAATTTGTGAAAAATAATATAATGATAATAGAGTAAAATAATATAAAATTGTATTGAAATAAAATTATATAAGATTTTAAAGTATAATTATACAAACGATTCTTTACGGGATACGTCTGAAGTTGTGATACTCAGAATGGTTTCACATGCAAAAATGAATTGAAAACGTAGAATAAAATTTTGTCACACAACATTATGTTCTCGAGATTGTTTTCGAAATTGTTTTCGAAATTAAAAAATTAATATAGATTTTCTTAACCTTGAATAATCTATCACAATCTTGTATTAAATCGGTAAATCTGTATATCAAATCGAAATTATTGATAAATTAATAAAAAAATAACAATAGAACAAACATAATCTAAAATAATTTTAGTTACTAAAAAACAAATTATTTGAAAATATCAAAAGATTATTATTATTTATTCAATAGAATGTTGTATCCTTATATATATATTTTAACTAATATCAAAATAAATTCCTTAATAATATAAAAATTATTTCGTTATATACATTAAAAAACTATTTGTTATATATATGTTGATTATTTTTCTAATATATAATACATAATGTATATGTTATATTAATTTTCCAACTTTCAAAATTAGTTTTCTCGAAAAAGGTGCTCCGCAAAAATTTTATTCCACAATTTCGACTTCTTTTTTCATAAGAAATCTCTTCGCAAATCGTATTATGATTTTGAATAATCTTTATATATAAAGAGATTTACAATTTAAATAAATAAATTTACATATATTTAGAAGTTACCAAAAGAATTCGAATATTAAATAAACATTTATTAAATTAGAACTGATATCTTAAACGCTATTTATGTTCGTAGACAAAAATAGTTTTTAGTTTATAATACTATCTATATACATACTCTTAAAACTTATATTTATATTTTTATAAGTAAAAATAATTTATTAGTTGTTTATCTCTTCTCGAAGATTAATTAATCTCTCCTTCTATGGATTTTTCGATTGATTCAGAATCTCTTTTCATATATAAAATATGATATATATTATATACGGAAATCAAATAAAATAACATAAGAATAGCATTCACATTAATTCGATTTTATCACAGCTACCATGTCGATGGCTACTGCCGGATCTCATATAGGCTGGACGTCACCATCTTTACCAATGCTGAAATCTAACTCCTCTCATATTCGGATAACATCCGACGATGCCTCTTGGATCGCCTCATTCTATCTTTTGGGCACCGTACCCGGATGCATTTTAGCAGCTTTCATTGTCGACTGGCTGGGTCGAAAGATGAGTTTACTGATAGCTGGTGTACCTCTCTTTGTCGGATTTATCATGATAATAATAGCATGGAATCCCTATATTCTCTATGCTTCTCGCTTTATTAGCGGTATCGGTCAGGGCGTAGTATATGTTGTTTGCCCGATGTATATCGGCGAGATAGCCGATAAGGAAATCAGAGGTGCTCTTGGTTCTCTTATCAAGCTAATGGTGACTTTCGGAGAATTGTATGCCCATGCAATAGGTCCCTTCATGTCTTATCAAAATCTTGCTTATATCTGCCTATTGCTGCCACTAATGTTCTTCCTTACCTTTTCCTCGATGCCCGAATCGCCATATTTTCTGCTAATGAGAAATCGCCAGGACGATGCGATGACGATTCTGAAGCGCCTAAAGCGCCGCGTTTCCGAAGACCAACTGGAGATAGATCTGCAAGAGATGCAGAAAACAGTCATTCGCGATCTCAGAGATCGCGGTCATCTTGGAGATTTATTCAATACACCTGGGAACCGGCGTGCCATCATTATCAGTTTTGGCCTGCAATTGATTCTCCAGTGCAGTGGTATCGCCGCAATCGAGTCATATACTCAGGAGATCCTCGAAGAAGGTGACGGAGCTCTGCCTGCTAGTATCACGGTCATTTTGCTCAGCTTGTTTCAATTGATCGCCGGTGTCGGAGCAACGATTCTGGTTGATAAACTTGGTAGACGCCCGTTGCTTTTGAGTACCACTTTTCTAGCTGGAATCACATTGAGCATTGCCGGCATTTTTTATTTTCTCAAATTTGTATATAAAGTGAACATGACCGGATACGGTTGGATACTTCATTCATCCGTGATATTTTACGAGCTGATTATCGCTTTGGGCCTGAATCCGCTACCATATATGATGCTGGGCGAGTTATTCTCGACTAACATAAAAGGCGCTGCTGTATCATCGACTAATGTAATGTCCTCGTTGCTGGCCTTTGCCGTGTCCAAATTATACCAGGTGATCTCCGATTATTATGGAGTGTACACGACCTTCGGCTGTTTCGCCTGTAGCTGCTTCGCCGGCTTAATTTTCATCATGCTAATCGTACCCGAGACCAAAGGCAAGTCGCTGTTGGAGATCCAAGAAGAGCTTCATTGCAAGAACAAGAAGAAAACAGAAAGAAAATCACAAAACAGGAAAAGGAACGAGCAAATTCAAATAAGTACGATAATTTAAACGGATAGATGGAAATAAGGATGTTTATGAAAATTTACGCATGCTAATTTTTGAACAATAGAAATAAGCAACGTACGTTCTCCGGATTATGGGACATTCGACAAAAAGTCTCGAGGCGGCCGATCGTCCTTCCGGTTACGATGGTTACGTCCGGGTCGATTATAAAAGCGAACGAGCAATATTTCCAACAATTATTGGTAAGATTAATTGCAATTATTTGAATACGTAATTGGACTCTCTTTAAAAAGATATGAATGAAAACGGCGCGTTATTATTTATAAAAAATGGACATTATTGTTTGCAAAAGTCAGAGAGCGACCCCTGTCAAAGTCGGCTTTTATACAAAAAAATTCAAAAGAAACATTTGAAAATCTTTACGTTTACTTTCAAAGTTTCTTGTATTTTAATTACAATTTTGTAATTTTTCTTTCCATATTTTATCGCCTGATATAAAACTAAGAGACCCATTGTCAGCTACATAAAATTAGAATTAAAGTTTAAACTATATTCGGAGGAAGGATACCTCAGATAAAAATTAGCTTGTAAGAGTTTAATATTTAAGAAAGGGCCCTTATATTCCATTAAAGGAGACGTTTCAACTGAAGTAATGAGATCGCCGAAAGAGCATTTCCCGATCATCATGTGATATATTATGATTAAAGAGAAATACTAACGCGTAATAATAATAAATCTGTTTGTGTGAATTATATATTTAAATTTTAAATTTTAAATTTGTGAATTTAGAGTTTAAATTTTAAATGTACAAATTAACGCTTCTCATTTATACAAACGTACATTTTTTAATTAAAAAATATCTTAGTTCAAATATTTTAATTCAAAAACGTGTTAAATTACATAAAATTTCTCAAAAGAATAATGATAAAAGAATAATATCATTCTTTGTTCAATATTAACAACATATTCGATTGATCATTTTAAGTACACAAATTGAGTATGTTTGGCAAACGCAACAATTGTTTGAAAGCATAACAATTGCCCCTATGATTGATGTATAATTTTAATTCTATCAAAGCAGATCTATATGCTTTCTGTTTACTTAACTGTAACGTTTGCTCTGAACATTTTCTTACATTTACTTACAACAATTGTATAACTAACAGTTCAATTATTGCATTGATTTTCAATTGAAATATTGTGGATATTCGGCAAATGTCTCGATCGGCGAAAGAATCTCGGCTAAATAATGCGAATTTATAATTTATCCGATGGTTTCTCTGAAGAACCGTTTCAGAAGAATCGCTTTTTTGAGATCCATTGTATGATCCAATGTGCGTTTTAGCTAGGCCCGCAAGCATGATAGAGCAATCTTGCATGACCATCTTTTATTCCCTTTTAGGCAGGGTTAAACTGAAACTTAAGACTGCTAGTTTTTAATTAATATCGTAAAGTATATTATTTTTATTCATCTTTTGATGAATATGTGGGCGAGCTCCGAACAGGCAAGAAATTCTCACAAAGGCAGAAAAGCGTTTTGCTTTAATTCTGCAAATCATTTTTTATGATAAGAAATTCAGTGAGTAGAACTGTCGTCTGATAATTGATAAATCCGGTTTTGATTCACTCTCGTAGATTAAAATTACATTTTTTTGAGAGTAGGATTTATAATATCTCCACAAAAATTCACTAAAACAAACAAATAGAAAATTTCTAAACAATAAAAAGTTCCTAATTACGATATTATTATATATTTAGAAACATATTTTTTATTCTTTTAAGACAAAGTTAAGCTGAAACCTAAAATAACAATGAGCAGCAAACCCAAATAAGTACAAAAGTTTAATTCGATGAGAAAAAAGTAGAATTATATATGCGAGAGCATAATCATTTAAAAATTCGTGCACGATAATTTTAATAATGAAAAATAATTAATATTCATTGAAAAATTATCAAAAGCGCAAATGATCTAACATAAAAAGAACTTAAAATGCTTGCGCAATAAATAATATTTTTCTTTTCTTTGAATTGTTTTTTAAAGATTCAATAGTATAATTCAATATTTCTTTTCTCAATTTTCAATTTTCAATACAAAGACATATATGAGAGTGACATATCGGTGAACGAATCCGGAGTCTATCGATTATCAATCGACCACTTCAGAGCTCATGTATTGGTCTGATTATTGATTTATAATTCTGTTTTAGATAAGATAAAACATATGCGTTATAAAAATAGCGCTTCGGCGTAGAATATAACTGGCCCGTTATTAGAGTTAAAGAAAAATATACTCACGCGTTTTTTCATGCGTGTTAGAAACTGACCGGAAATATCCGGTGCGTGCTTTCGTGCGTAAGTGGTCGCCGATAATAAATGGACCGAGACGCGAAGAATCCAAATTAGTTTCATAATCGGGTTAATGGCTCCCTCTTCCCACTAAAAGGAGGGATTTATTTTTGCCCCCGGTGACGCGATCCACCTGTTACATAGACCAAAGAATAGCTATGTTTGACGATTAAACAGTCGAAAGTGAATGAACAGAGCATTTACAATCGCTCGTAAAAGTTATCGAAAAATTCGTCGATCACATTCGCTTTATTACGATTATGCGAAGCACGTTGTTCTTAATATCTTATAATTTCTTATAATATCTTAACTCTCGAGTGTGTCAAGTATGTTCACGCTATTGCATGACTCTCTACACGTCCCTTTCAGGCAGGGTTTAAAGACTAATCGAATGCGATTTGAACTTCAGATTTCTACAATGTAGAAGTTTGTAACATACGTTGACAATAAATGAAGTTACATTATTTAATTCACAATTATATCAAATGTGAATTTTCTTCCTCGCATTTCCACTTCTTTTCCTCTCTTCCTATCTCCATAACATTTTACGATTTCTATAGTTTCAAACGTTTTTAGGAGGCGACGAGATCGGTCAAAGGTCAATAAACAAGTCGCCACGAACCGGACAACTAGTATGTATATTTTTGCATTATAATAACCCCGTTATACATAAACGCTTTATTACAATATAGAAACATAAATTTTTTTTATAATGTCTCATCCATTTTAACATCTCACAACGTTTCTTGCTATGATACACATCTTGTATGGTCGAAATTATTATATTACTACTATAATCCCTGGCATAAAATCTTGTCAACGTGCCCAGAATGCGGCCACTCGCGTGAATCTTTTCCCTCAAATAAAACACGCATCCCTAGCATACGAGAGCGACAAGATAAAACTTGCATGCAGCTTTTTATTTCGCTTATTCGAAATTATGCACATCGTTTAATTTTACTGAAAAAAACCCATGAGAAAATAAACGGAAATTGAATTTTGTTATATTTAAATATTATCATAAACATAAATTATGTTTCAAAAAATTTTTTTTAAAATAAATCATTTCTTAAATCGATTTATCTCTTTCGACACAATTTTAATGATTATATTATATTAAATTACTTAATTGAATTTCGAAGATAAACTTTAGAGTTAAAATTTTTTTGTATTTGATCTTTTATGCCTTATTTATTTTATAGTAAAAACGTTTTAGTGTTAATCATATTATATCGTCAATGTGTATTGCTATAAAATAAAAAGATGATATCAAAGACAATATGACAAGAACAAGAGCTATTTTGCTTGATAGTTCTGTGCGATCGAAGATCGGAGAATAATCTACTTATTCCTGAGTTGAGCTTGTCGTTCTCGTAACGAGCTATGTTTTCTTGATGAAGATGCTCGTTCTTCTCTCTCATAAAAACGCACACACAAGCGATCATACTCACACCGGCACTATAATTGTCGAAGAAAATCTAAAATATGTATTGTAACATACACGCACATGTTTGGCACATATTTCTCATATCTGGAGCTTACATTTTTTCAATACAATGTAATCTAAAAAAAAGAGCGTTTCGTTATATAATGCCAAATCCGCGTGATTGTATATTCTTGATGGTTTTATAATATCGTGAGAAATAAAAAACGCAATTAGCGTGTGTGTGTGTGTGTGTGTGTGTGTGTGTGTGTGTGTGTGTGCACATATATGTACATATATATGTAGATGTACATATGTAGATGTATATTTTATTCTCTCCCTGTATTTATGCTCTTACAAAGCTTTTAATGTCACTATGTGCTCAACACTCGTCGATTCGCCCTCGTGAAATCTCTTCAGGACTATCAGGCAGCCAGAAGAGCGCGCGGTCACTTTATTTATTAGCTATTTATTAGCTCGTTTTTTAAATTTGAATTTCTCGCGTTAGGCCAAGCGATGTCCAAGCAATTTTTAAGCAAAAAAGAAGAGGATTCGTCTTGAGAGAAAGACATAGCGGGAAAAAAAAACGTACGTTATATTTCAACATTTTTCTACAAATGTTCCTAAAAATTACTAACTACAGATAGAAAAGGGAAATATTCTCATAGAAAAGGATTTTCTACTTGTAGTGAATTATTGCGTTTCTTTCGTCGCCAGATCGATTGGCGACTGAAAACTATAGCCGAAATATTTTAGCGAGAGATCTACGGCCGTGAGAATTGCTTTAAGATTACGTTAACAAACTTATCAGCGAAATCGGCTGCGTTTCCATAAGGTAACGATCTCCAATGCCGATAATCTTAATTAGAAAAAAGGCCCTCGCGATATTTGCGCGAAAGACTGATTATCGTTAAACTTCTAACTTATGTGTTCTTAAGCGATACATATCGCGAGAGATCGGCGATTACGTTTGCCGATTGATTGTGCGACGCAGACATACTTATTAAAAACCAATCGTTTTCCTTCTTCGACGATAAGCAATCGTCAATTAGATCCATGTCATTGATCTTGTCGTTCATAGATAAGTAGGTGAAGCAAAGGGATATCAAATGCAATCAGAGAAATATAGTTTTTAGTAAAACATAATTCTCAGGACGGTTACTTTTAGAATAAACAGCGAAACGGAGCGACACAGACGCGTTAATTAATTCGGCACCGAGGAGAGAAATTGACGAATCGAGAAGAGATTGGTCTTTGGAAAGAGACGAAGAAATTTCTTCTTGTCGATCCTGATCTGAAATGCCCGATCGCATAATGTTTCATAGATAATGTTTGTATATCTTAAATTCGTATACGTATAGTATAGTCTGATGATAACAAGTAGTCATAAAAATTCTAATTTGCCTCGTTTTTAAGCGTCCGTTATTCTACGTAATTTTATGTCACGAAAACGACATTAGAGACTAATCACTATATGTTTGTACGCGCGACAATATTTATAGACACGCATCGTACGTTATCTTGGATAAAAAAGATATTTCTGGAGCAACGCTTGTAAACTCGCAGAGATTCCAACTCAAAAACAATGCTCTAATTGTAAAATTAGTTGTATCACACTCATTCAAATTTGATGTAGAGAGAAAAGTATAGAGAAAAAAGCTACACATATAAAATAACAAATGCTGCATTCGCGTTTCAATGCGCTTCGCGCGTTTCGGAAATGTAATAAATGTCATAGTTTCAATGAAAAATAATATTCGTATATCGGCCTGAACGATACAATTTTATCGTATCGAGCGTCACGCGAGAAAAGCTTTTCTAAACGAATGCGATTTTCGTGAACTTTTATTTCTTCTGATCTTAAACGACATCAAAGTTTGACATTGTCGTACCACAGGGAGCTATTGTTGTGGAACGTGTCGGTTATATTTCTCAGCGTAAGTCAGATTGTATCGGTTAAACATAAACGGTGTCTATACACTACGTTATAGTTTATTTCATCCATATATCAATGCTACTCTTTCAGTGTCATGAAATGTCATCTGTTTTAGCGATCTCGATATCAGATTTGATCTGATATATCAAATTAAAATAATTTCAATCGCAAATGTAACGGAATGAATTTTATAATATAAAAAATTCATATCTCTTTAGCTGTAAATAGCGATAATCTCTCTTATAAAAATTAATTAATTAATAAATGTAATACATTTAATAACATACTTTTTTCTTACATACAGAATTAAATAAAAGTGTGCGTCGCAGCGCGTATCGCACTATTGAAATTATGTACATTGCTTAATCGCAAAGTGCAGGATTCAAAAGTTCAGCAGGCATTTTCTATGCTCGTGAAAAGAGATTTCAAAATACACGTATCGGAAAAAGTTCTCGCTATATCGCCAATACGCGAAAAGCTTTCGATAAAACTTTAAGCAATTAGTCACAAAGCAAAATTGAAAATTGCATCGAGAGTAGCAAAGTGAAACGAATAAAAATAGTTTGGCCGTTTCGTGCAAAGCATAAACTATTTTGTATGTACTTTTATACATACAACAATGCACATACATACGATCACGTAAACACGCACACATTCGCACACTTTAATAACTGATCGTGCGCTCCGTTTCTCTTTTCTTCTCCCCTTCTTGTATCGCGCGCGATCTCGACGAATGTCTTCTATAATTTATCTTACAAATTGACAACAACAATTCGGCCCTTATCTGGACTATCCTCTCGACGTGTAACTACAAACGGTAACGTTAATAACAAACGTTCTTTTATATACAGCTATCTACATGCGCGAGAACATCATAAACGTCATCGGCGTTAAGAAATCGGCAGCTGAGAAACCTCCCAGATTCTCGAGTTCTCCAGTATCTCTTCTCGTGTCCTAGAAGACGTATAAAAAAGCACAAAAGGAACTATACTCTACGTTGCGTTTTTGTCCTGCGACACGATTTCTCGCGAATCCGTGACGTATGAAGCCCGTATTCGCGTGTTGATGACGCAGATCGATACTCACGTGTACCCGATTCGGGCCACGTACATCCATTCGAAGCGTATAGAAGGGAGGTTTCATGTGCACGTCGATTCTTTCGCCGACGGACGAACGATCAGATGCTACGTTTACGGCACCACATTTGCTTACGAGTCACTTTTCTAATCGTTCCTTCGTTGTTGGCATTCGGTGCGCGACTTGTCGTCGTGTTGAATTTTGCAAACTACGCGAACTAGCTTTCGTCAAATATTGAGGTCTTAAAGAATTATGATCGTTTCAACGCAGATCAGGCACTCCGCGGAACATGTCATGACATTTAATGCGCACGATATTATTACGATCTTGATAATAAATATGTACACCAAACAATTATCAGATAATATGCGATTACTGCGGTTTTGTTGGAAATTTCCAATTTCAATTGTGTTTTGAAATATATTCATCAGATAAAAATGTAACTGCCAAGTAAGTTAATTTGGTGCCAAACTTTACCAATAATTTAGATTGAACGCTGGTCTGGTACTTCTGATCGGAGTGAGCTCTTATTGGCGAAACCTTCTGGAATCGAGGGCACATAGTCTGCATTGATACGATATACGGTGTATATATATATATGTAAATATATACACTCATACCATTTCTAAATGCGGCAACAATACAATCAACAGTACAATATAGTATGTCGAATATCGCGATCAGATTTTTCGCGAATTCTTTGCAACAACCTTACCGCCACATCGTATACAAAGACGCGTATTTGAAGCGTCGTATTAAATGCGATACACCTAATCAGCGCGCCATCGATCCGATGAGATTTGCTGAAGAGATGAATACGCCAAAACTGTCAATCTTTCTCACCATTGGTCTTGACATTTCTCTCCTGAATCGCTCGAATGTCTTCCTAAAACGAAACGACGTCGACGTTGAGCCTCAACGATGTTGACTGTCGTCGTGAAGTTATGATCTCGCGGGATGAAGACATCGTGGCTGAAGGGAATCGAGAGCGACATACAAGCAATGCGGCAACTTCCGCTTTCATCACCCCTTTCATCGCTTTAGGGCGGCGCCGTAACGTTCTCAGGCACGGAAATGTCCCTGTTCAGGGAGTTTAGCAGTTCCTCGTTCTCTTTCCGTACTGAAACAATAATAGCGTTGGTAAGTAAAGCGCGAAACTTGGAAATATATGTATCTTTACACAAGAGTATAATACAACATCACTATCGCACGCGCCCGTTTTCGAAATGGAGCGAACAAAATGTAGATTTATATTACTTTCTTTTCGTGTCGAGATAGATTTTCTTAACTTTGACGATGCGGCTGACTTTACCGCTCATAAATAAAGAACAGCGGAGATTTAAATTATTCCTATCAAGCGTAATCGTTCGATAAGAAACATCATAAAAGTCATAAAAGTTAAATCGACGACGTTTAAAATAGTTAAAAAGAAACGTCACTAAACTTGATGACGATGAACAAAGAAAATTATAATTTATGATTATATAAAATAGTTTCAGAAATTTAACGGACGTATGTTCCATGTGATTTAGAGTTAGTTTTCAAAAGCTTTCAAAAATCATGATTTACGTTGCGCTGTGCTCGGCCAGTTCCTTTGAGCCTGTCACAGGACTCAGGAAGGTGCTGTGCGTCAAGGTGATCACCACCGCTAATATCGAGGCTGTCAGAAGGAAGATAAAGATTCCCAAAAGGATTATGGCGATTCGTCGATGACGCCTCGTCTGTTCAAGTTGATGAGCGTCCTCTATTATTTTCCGCATCTGCTTAACGTCCGTCTTTGTGGGACGAATGGAATCCTTTCGTGGAGTAGCGGTACTTGCCCTCCGTGGCCTGGTTTTCTTGCTAACACTGGCTCTCCTATCATCCCCTGAAGTTTCACGTCGTCGTCGCGTATTAATGTTAAAGCGCTTTTTCTCACGCCCACAGCAATTGATCGATAGAAACGATAATCGCTTTTGGATGCTTCTCAAGGCTAAATGCGATATATCTCATGTATCTTTAATGCATTCGAGCAATGACGTCACAAAATCAACAGCGAACAGATCAGCTTAATACGATTATATTTTAAAGTCGCAAAAAGATATTTTAGTACGGTAAAATGCAGAACAATGTCAATGTGTTACGATATTCATTCGAGACTAATTATTTGTGATTAGTAGAGAAAAATAGAAGATTCTTTTTCATTTATTTATACGTTCCAATTATCTCCTACCTAAGGGAGTCGGTCTGCTGCAGCTGTTCGCCCTCGAACGATTCGACTGCGTGCTAGAGCGTCTGCTAGACCGCTGATCGACATCTAAATTGCATCTGGAGCGTCTCGGGGTGCTCGACTGAGAGTACACCAGATTAGAAGAAGGCGATCTCTCGCCGGAATTCAAGGGATAAAGGGTGGAACGATCATCTAGATGGAAACCCAAACTGTCGGGCGGATACAGACTGGAACGATGACCCATCCGCGGAGCATCCGGTTCGATAGACAAGACGTAAACATCCTCAGCGCGAAATTCCGGCGACAAATCCTGGCCGGTAGCTGTTGCGAAATCGTCTACGTAGAGAATTATTCTTTCGCGCGACACGGCGCTCGGTCGTCGATTTCGATCGCCTCGATGATTAATGTCCATGGCGGCTGAATTAATGGTCTCGAGAACGCGTCGAAAAGTCCAGACTATTTTTCATCATTATATAGTTTTAATATGAATTGTTTTTACATTTATCTGACGTTGCAGTTTACCGTGAAGGACGAGTTTTTTCCATGGAAATTATAATTTTAACACTTACAAAATATCTACGACCGATTTGCACTTTATCGTATTATCAATGATGCGTATCGCATCTTCAAGGGTCGTGTGATCCATCACCTTGTCGCTATAAAATCGAGGATTCGCTGTTGCAATGCGCAGTTATCGATTCCAAGAATAATTATTTCTAGGCTCGAATAATGTAAATCGGCCTCGAATAAAATTTTTATCGTATCTTCGCTGTTGGCGGGAAAAGATTTTTATGGAGAGTAGGTGATAAATAACTGTAAGGCTATTTATATCGTGTCGTAAAGGGTGATTAAAGTAGATCTATCGCGGTTTTCACGGGTTTACCATCGATAGGATGGAGCACTCTCTTGTGTGCGCTTTCGCGTTTAATCGCGACCACGACACCGCAACGAGCTCAAAGAGGCCACGTCGTCTTCCATGAACGTCAGCAACGTACGAATATTCTTGCAAGAACGCCATAAGTGCTTCTCATGCATGAGAAATTTATAGAATGCCTCATGTTATATTCGCCGCTAAAAAAGAAAATTAGTCAATCTTACCTAGAATTTTACTGAAAAGATTTTACGTAAAATATATAAAAATCTCTAAAAAGATCGATATGTACGTCTATTATTTGTACATAAATTTATCTGTGATTTAAAATAATTTATTCTTTTAAATATTTAAAATATTCTTATAAAACAATTTACCTAAAAAATAAACCTTGTCTTATAAAAACTGGTAATATTCATTATAAATACTGAAATTTTCGATCAAATTCTCGATGTATTGGAATCGTTTACAACCGTTGCATAAATCTAATAATAATGATTCGAAAACGTCGAAATAAATATGAAAATTTTTAGTAAATTAATTAAATTGCGCTATAATGCAGGTGATGAGAATAATATACTTGGCCTTGATTCTCAAGGACTTTGAACTTGAAGAGATACGCTGTTATTATTAATTATCCTTGACATAATGTTACGTTATGCAGGTGTTTTATTATAATAAACTCTTCAGAAAGGCAAATATTAATGCAATGGGTACTGCGTTAATCCTTTATAACTGGTTATCACTCGGATCAAAATATACCAACTTCTCAAATGATGAAACCGAGTCACGAATCAGAAAAAACGAGCCATTAAAAATGGCCTTATTCCCTCACGGTTAGATATAATAATGTCGCCGAAAATTTTTATTTCCCTCACTGCTTATTTTTACGTTTCGAGAATATGAGAATTGATGAGAAATTATCCCAGGTTTACGATAGCGAGTAATGGCGTAAACATTGCGGAACATCTTGAGGAACGGTGTGTGATCGGTAAGATGAAAACACAAAAATTCGAAGAGAGGAAGAAGGACAGCTAAAAACGTCGTCGATACGCGTGGTGGACGTCACCCTTGAGTTTATTGCGACGTGTATTTTTAGCGATCGGGGGATCTAGCCGGCCGCCGATCCGTTTCTCCTGTCTCCTTACCCCGCGGCCGAAATCCGTCGACACGTACGCAAATCCCTCGTACGCGCACACATTCTCACGCGTTCATACCGATAAATATACTCGGCCAAATATTTAGAGAACTTCGCCACCCACGGCGGCGGCTGAGATTACTTCGATATCGTCATCGGCCCGTAAAACGCCCGAAGATGGTGATCAATCGCTCGTTTCTCGACAAAGTCTCAACCCGATGTGAATTTGATAGACCATCAATGGCTGGTTACGCAAGATAGTTGATTTTTCTCTTTCCTTCGTGAGAAAAACGAAATTTATCTCGGACAAACCGTCGAGCAAGTGAATTATCCGCGTTCGATGAAGTGTTCTTAAGCGCGGATATCGCGGCTTCAATTTACCGCGTTCGATAACCCGCGATTATGGATTGGGAAATTGGCATCCAAAAACGGAAATTAGGTGTAATGGTATCGATAGATACCTTTTGTTGCGCGCGACAAGCTTCCCATGTTGATTGACTGCATAATCGGATAAAAGTCCCGCGTTCCATAAGGTCGATTGATAAAGATTTATCGGCGCATCCGACTACCATAAAATTTCTGCGATATGCGATAAATTATACGCTCGTTCGCGAGCCCGTAAACGCGCCATTTCACTTTATTCATCGTATCTGACCGGACCTTTTTCATGTCATGTGTCGGCAATGCGGTCGTAACGCAACCGCGAACATTTCACAGATCGTTCGAAATTTGCCCTGGCATTCCGCGTGTGCTGAATTCCCATTTGCGATCTATATTTTCCTCGCGCAACGCCTGACATCGATAATCGATGATGCTCTCGTTCCGGTTACCGATGTTAGCATATCTCGACGGCATGAAGGACGTAATAACAGCCAGGATGTCGGGAAAGCACGAAGAAACGAGTGACGGGTGTAACAGGTGACACAAGCGTTCGCAAGCTGTCGCCGGAACTGCGGATGCTACGCATTCGCGTAGTTATCTTTCATTAATATTCCAACTACATTTTTGTACATCTATCGATGTCAATTTACACGGATTATATTGGACAGAATATTTTACAGATTCATCAAAAAGCTTAAAATATAACATTGTATATTTGTAAATATATATTTGTATATAATAAAATAAAATATAATAAATATTTCATTCAAAATCTGTATACAATATTCTCTTACTTTTCAAGTGATCAAAATATAATGAAGCTTTCAAAATATATGAAGCTGCTGTCGAGAAATATAAATGTGCGGTTGGAAAATTAGAGCAGATTTAATGATAAATTTACAGTCGGTTTCTTCTTAAATTAAATTGATATAAATTTGATAAATATCCTCACTTTCTATATTAATATAAAGCAAATATACCTTTTAAAATTATAAGATCAATTTAATTAGTTTAATTTACGTTATTCGGTTAGTGATGACGATTATTAATTAAACTTGACTTTTAATTGCTGAAATCGTGCCAATCTTTCTTAGGTGATTTTAATGATAAAAAAATGTTGGATCAATGCAGAAAGAAGATGAATTGTCGATTAATTTCATGGTCACTCGGAATGCAGCCAAGAATCGTATATACGCAATAAGTTCTAATATCTTTGATTAATTAACGTACAATTTAGCTTATGAAATTAACGAATGAGATTGGCAAGTAACCTAGAGAAATCTATAATATAATTTAATTATAATCTTAATGCAATGTTAAAAAAAATTTCTTCAAATTTATTAATGTTAAAATCTATATTAAAGACACATTTCTTTCAATTTTTGAAATTGTATGTCTATCAACTGTAAGTATGATTTATTAATGTCCGTAATAATACACAATACAATAAGATATTTTTAGATATATGTTTATATTTTTTAAGATTATTTATTAATCCCGAGAAAAGAGAAAGAGAGAAAA